AACATTTCTTGCGAGCGTAGCGTTTTAACGACGGCTTATTAGTTGTTACAATGTTAGGGAAAATGCGCGGAAAAAAAACCAAACCGGTTGGCCGAAGGCTGATCGTTTTCCGAGGCAAAGTATCGGAGAGACAGAGAATGTGTAATACAAGAATGAATAATTGCGTAGGAAAAAAAAAAAAAAAAAAAAGAAATTACGTCGCGCCTGTGTGTTGTTCGCTCAGAATCCGCGATATTAAAATGCTGCATCACAGACTAATTATTATTATTATGAGCTGCATATTCAATTGAGGTTCAATACGCAAATGTTAAAGTAATTAACCTAACGTACACACACGCACACAGACTCGAGGTGTTAAGCGCGCATATATATTTTGTTCTTTTATGATCGGGGAAATGTGTCTATTAATTATTGAAGTTTATGAGTTCATTAAATTAACAGATTTATGGACTTCTACTAGAGACTAACGTAGCAGACCTGAGCGAGAGATCGACGCAAACGCAGCTTGTTGTACTCCGGTGAAAACTTCGGGGAGAAAATTCCGAAAAAGAAATCCGGACCCATCCTCTGTTGATATGTAAAGATAAAATGGACGCGGCGATATGCCGTAAGGTTCACTTCGGGGGGGGGGGGGGGGGGGTGCAGCGTCCGAATCGACTTTTGTAACTTTTTTTTTTTCACACAAGCGAAGAAGCTCTCGTCCGTTATTACATCGACCGATCGATCAGCGTCAAACGAGGAGGAAACAGTTGAGGAAAGAGAAGCCACCGCGGCCGAAAGAATTCCGGATGCGACGCATCCTCCCCTTCGCGACTCGCGGCGCGATGGGGGTGGGCGACGAGAGGCGCCCGAAGAGCACAGAGCTCGCGGGGGCGGTTTTAGTCACCTCCCACCTGTGTCGGTATAGCGCGACCACGTGGTATCCGCCGCGGCGCCTTGGTTCCGTGCTCATCATCGTCGGCGCCTCCACCACCACCACCGTCACCGCCACCACCACCATCACCGCGACTACCACCATTACTACCACCCGTCATCACCCACCCGCGCTCTCTCAGTGTCAAGCGGACGACGCGTCTGTCGGTGAGCGTGTCGTCTGTCTGATCTCGTCGCGCGTTTTTCGCATCCCCGCGTTATCGGTCCAACATCACACGACCAACCGATCACGTCGCGCGCAAGAAGATCAACAACGCGGTCTTCGTCGCGAGTGACGATCTCTACGACGGGATATTATACGATACGTTACGCCGGTGTTGTAATTAATTAGCCATCGGTCATCTATCCTAGCTCTCGGGTTGTATCCGCGCGTGCCGGCGCGCAAACACGACTGAAATTAGCGACGGCACGACCTCGTCGCCGTCGTCATTGTCGAGGAGGCCCGACTCCCGAAGTACGAGGGCATCGCCCGTCAAGCGAGAAGAAGGCGACGGGCCTTCTGGCCTCCTCGAGGATGCCGCCGCCTCCTCGTCGTCGGCGACGACGTGGATGTACGCGCTTCTCGGTAAGCGGCCGCGCGGCTTACGAGCGCGCGCGAAAAAAACGCTCGCGATGTGCGGAATATACACGCATCTCTATTCTTTTCGTTCGAATCCGTTTCGGAAAACCAAGTTTGGCTTTGGCCAAAAGTTGCCAGTTGTGCAGTGCTTTAAGCGAGAATAATTATTTTTTGCAGATTGATTGATAATTTATTTTAATAATTTATTTTTACAACGCACACAATAATCGATGAACAAACGACAGTTTATATTATCGACAACATATATCCTTCTTTTATTTGTCATATATTACGGTTCGCTAAAAAAATTTGCACATCGCCGTTCATCAGATGCGATTTTCGTCGAACGCGTAATTTCCGCGATGTTTGCCGCGACACCTCACGGATATTGTTTCTTTCTCTTTGTGATACGAAATCAGCGCTTGACAATAATCCTATCGCACGTTGATCGCTTCGTCATCTGGATCGCTGAGTTTCTTCCATTGTAACTTCTGTCCTCTTTGTCGATTGTTTCTCCAATTCGAACGACAATTCCTTCGGTGCCATTTAATCGACGCCACGTGCCCGTTCGCGCGCTCCTTCCGACGAGAATTGCAACAGGTAACGCTCGTCGAGTCCGAGAGAAAGAGAGTCGGTGGCGTCATATTTTTTAGAATGATAAAAAAAAAAGTTCGCCACACACGCGATCGAAGATGTTGTTGCTGTCGAAGGTCGCGGCTCTCCCGAGTAATGTCATTGTCGCTATTATCCTCGTCACGCGGTGTTTGTTCGAGGAATTTTTTTAACCGCATCATCGGGGAAGTGTGAGATGTTGCTCGCGTAACTTTCTTTCTGCAAAATTGATATGAAACCATAATTTTTATATCTCTCACGTGTAATCTCGTCCCGTTAATTAATTCCATCGGCTCGTCGCGCCGGTCACACGGGGAGAAGTTGCAAGAATCTCGAGTGCGAATGACGTTGACAAACCCGATCGATGTCTCTCATGTCTTGGACGAAGAGCTCTGTCGCGATAAAACGCGGGGAAGATTATATCCACAACCGGAGAAGAATATTTCAATTATATAGTTAGTGTTATATTTATCGCGCACAATCTTGATACACACGGTGTGGGGGAAATCCGAGAAAAGGCGCGCACATTTTTATCGCGAGAGAGACTTAAAACGTAAGTCGTAAAATGATATTCCCGAGGTTGTTATAGTTTTATTATCCGCGCGACTAGAGTTCATATTTGAACACAACAGCGCGAAATCTTCAACGACGAAGACACTGAAATGTTAAACGCGCGCGCGAATATTTCTTTTTTTCTTCTCGCGCGCGTTTCTCCGCGTTTACCCCGGAACTAGGTTTCTGGATTGGCGCAGGGACTTAAATCACACTTCGCGCGTTCTCTCTGAACGTGAAGAGAACACACATTCGCGTTACTCTCGCGAATTCGTTTCCCTCCCGCTTTATCTTTCTCGTCGAGAGAGCTAGCTCTCTGTCGTACGTTTCATATATCGCGCGCACGCCGCGTAATATACCAGCGGAGCAAAATGTCATAAAAACGCGGAATTGCCTGGCGGGCATCTCTCAGCGGCGCGCGCGAGGTAGCAATTAATGCGCGCGCGCGAATCCCGAAGGCGGACGATTCGCCATGGGTTTTTGCGCGAACAAGTTGATTAATTGCCGATTTCGTCGCTTCTCCCTCCCCCCCCGCTCCGTCGTCTCCGTCCCGATCTTGCGCAAAAGCGCTTTGTGAGCGCCTTTTCCTCGAGCGCGCACAACGCGCGTTCGAATGTACAGACGTGCGCGTTTGTGAAATGTTTTTTTTTTTTTTTTTTACAAATAACGAGAAACTGTATCACCTCGCCGGATCTCTTCTCTTGCGCAAAGCTCTTCTCTTCGTGTATAATCCTCTTCTTTCTCGCCGCGGCGCGCATTCATTCGTCCCCGAATAATCCTTTCAAAACGGCGAGGGGGGGGGAGGGGAATTGGATTGATACACGCGCCGCGAAGAAGAGGCGTCGACCTTTCGCATTTCGTTCGGTATTGCCGAACAGATGTGTGCAACTTCAGAAACATAGTATCTACCAGTCTGTGTCGCGCTTTATGGCTTCTCCGCGCGTGTCTTCTTGACGTGATTCTTCGCAAATTTATATAATCCTTCCGTGTACGCGCGCGGAAAGAGAAAGAGAGCGAGAGCTTCTCTTTCTCGACGACGCCACGGTGTGACAACCGGTCGTCGTCATTATTGCGTCATTATTGATACATACTCATACCGGTGTCGTCGACGGTGGTCGTTCGCGCGCATTCCAAGAGTCGCGCGAGTTGTCCGATGATATCCGTGTGCCCCCCTCCCCGCCGCATTCGCACACAATCGTGACATTGGGTCGCGCGCTCTGTCCACTCTCAAGGTCGTCGATATGTATCGTCGCGTGTGATACACGCGGCTGATTTTTCTGACGCGGTTCATCTCCCGCGATCACACCTCGAGATTATATATTCGGCGAAAGTGACTTGCGCGAGGATCGAGCGACAAAAAAAAAAGAGAGCGCGCGATTTCTTTTCGTTTCCGTACTCGGCAAAAAACGTCCTCGTGACAAAACGAAAAAAAAAAAAAAGAAGGAAACGCGCGCGTGAATCGCAGCGCTCGGTGCATTGGAAATTAAATCCCGCCGCGTAAACTGCCGGTTTGGAAATTGTCGCGCGTTTTGCATCGCCGGGTCGCCGCGTCTAAGTGAACAATAATTTCATGCCGCGCTCTCGGCTAGATGATTGCCGATAGTGTGTGTGTGTGTGTGTGTGTGTGTGTGCGTCTCTCCATCGTGGCTTTGAATTACGCAAATTTCTCGCGCGGCGCGACAAAGCGCATATGGACGGATTACCGCGCCGCGCGCGTATACGCGCACCGATCTTTCTCTCTCGGTCTCGAGTCACGTAAGGAGAGACCCAATAACACACGCGCTTGAAAAGAAAAACAGGAGCGAGCTTTCTGCGCGTTGCGTTTGCGTCCACGTGCCCCATTATACGCGCGCATACGTTTTACCCACATTTTCACCGACGACGCAGCGAAATTGCGCGGAAAGAAAATTCTTATCGATCTGATTTTCTCGATCCGATAACAAAAAAAAACACTTGCCGATTGTGGCGTGATCGACGTGGTCTTCTCAAAAAATTGATTTCTCCTTGATCTCTCTCTCTCTCTCTCTCTCTCTCTCTCTCTCTCTCTCTCTCTCTCTCGAGAATCTTTTTATCTTTGGGAGCGAGATCGAGAATTATAAAATATATAGGAAAAAAAAAATCAGCCGCGCTGCATTTCCGCACATCTTCCGCACGTCGCGAGCGCTTCTCTCCCGCGCGTTTCTCCCGCGCGAGTCCACGGTGGAGTCCTTCTCCCAGAAGGAAATATCCGGTTCTCTGTCGTTCTCCAGACGAGGGTGGTTTACTGTCGGACAACGGCAGCGGTGCGGACGTCGTCGAGAATGACGACGCGATGGTCGCGGCCGCGGGCGAGGGCGCCTGCGTGAACGATCGCATTCTCCACTATCATCACCAGCAGCAGCAACAGCAACAACGACATCGTCATCACCACCATCATCATCATCATCATCATCACCATCGCGACCAGCTGCAGCAACAGCAACAGCAACATCCGTCGGAATTGGATGATCTCCTGCAGTTTCGCGAGTCCGGAACCGCGACAGGTCAAGAGGAAATGGTGGCGCAGGAGATGGCACAGGGCTACACGCAGCTCCTGCACTCGGCGGCGGCGACGACGACGACGACGAGCCAGGAGCCGCGGGAGTTCATCTCGCTGGAGGAGCTTCAGCCGCGCCTACATCATCGGGAGCACGCCTGCATGCAGATCGCCTCGTCCGCCGCGCAGCTCTACCATCATCATCAGCAGCAGCAGCGTAACCAGCCGAACAACAGCAGCCAGCAGCAACGCCAGCATGATTACTACAATCTCCCGCCCGTGCAGGAGTAAGTTCCGCATGTGATCGTGACGTATATAGTTTTGTGACAAAACAAAAAAAGAGAGGATCGTTTTTAGTTTAATTGACTGTTGACGGATGTGTATCGCTCGTCGTAATATCGTCGTTTAGAACTAAAAAAAAAAAAAAACTTGAAAACTAGCGTTCTAGCGTCGCATATGTGTTACATGTGCATATATGTATATTACGTCATAGTTTGCATGCGCGCGTGATCGATGACAATCAAGCAAACCAACCTGTCGACGCCGCGCGTCGAATCCGCTTTGGAATTACGACCGCGCGGTTGTCAACAACCGAGTTTACCGAGTGAGGTATTACTTGAAATCACTCGGAAACTGGTTAGGTATATCGGTACGCTCACGAAACGTGCAGGATATCGCATCCGGATATTTCATTTGCGCAATTGCAAATCGGACTCGAGTCAGTCAGGTCTTAAAAAAAAAAAAAAAAAAAAAAAAAAAAAAAAAAAAGAAAATTGCGGGGGTAAAAAAAAAGTTCGCGATAGGATGTTTTTCTCAGACACAGAAACAGATCCGCGTGTAAAAAAAAAAACACGACGTGTTGTAAGATAACAAGCGCCGGTCATCGCCGGTATTCAACGGTTTCACGCTCTAACGAGTCCAAATTAACTCACACAGATCGGCGCACGGTAGTGCATTAAATCGCAAACGCGTATTAATATTTAAATGGCGTTGTTTGTGCAAGAGCACAAATATCTGATCGATAATCGCTCTCCAGTTTTCTCTTTACTTGACTCCCGTCTGTCCGATTAGTTAGCTCGAAATGATGTGAAAAGGTGCCCCTTTTGGAGACTCTCCCCCTAAGGGAGTTGTTCTCTTTTCATGTCTTTTCGGAACATTGCGGAAACACGCGCTGCATTCTCAGACATTTTGTGCGCGCGACGACGCATTGCGCAATAGATCCTTAACACCGCGATTCAGCGATAAGCGCTGGTTTTTTTACGCGTCAAGCGCGTGTTGACTAGTCGATTAGACGAATCCTCTTGAATCGACCACCTGCATAATGTTTAAACATTTTATAATTCATACGCATGCAAAATAGTTCCAGCAAATATATGATTACGTCAAATCGTGATTACAGAAAAATGTTTATTTATCGTCTTTTATCTGGGGATCGGAAATAAACGCACGCGGAATCAAGTTAATTATTTTAATAAGAGCGTGGACAGATGTTCCGAAAGTGCTTGAACAGTTTTGATCGAACACAAATCATATTTGTTACATAACTGTCTGTACGAAACAAAAGAAACGTTCAAAGACACGTAGAATGACTTGTCGGAACGAAAATTGTGTCGCGGTGTACGTCGTTTTTGGTGAAGTTTCGCAAAAAAAAAAACAGGTAAGCTTTGAAAGTTTTTTTTTTTCACGTCAAATTAATTAATTTCGGATTAAGAGGCTAATTAGCCGAGACGGAGAGAGAGAGAGAGAGAGAGAGAGAGAGAGAGAGCATCGGATATGCGCGCGAGCTTATCCACCTGTCGCATCGCGTAACATGACGTGTCGCGCGCGCGCCGTCGTGTGTTGTCGTTTGTTTGCGAAATAATTAAAATTATTGTAAATCGCTTGCGCGCGCATTACATCATATGATAAACGGAACTGTTTGTATCGCGCTGATGGTGCGAGGTAGTCGTCAGACCTTGATCTTCCGCAGTTGTTTTTTTGTTTTTAAGAAAAAAAATGCGGAGAAAATCTCTATTGAGAACGAAATGACGCGCGCGAGCGTCGCGTCTTAGAAACAAAAAAAAAATCCACTCGCATTAATCGGTCGCATATATTTTTTTGCTGTTATTTAGAGAAATGACGAGATATTCCGGAGAAATGTTGAAGATGTGAAAAAAATTAAAACCAATTTTAAAAACTTCAAAAAATACGAAAAAAATTAAAATAACAAGAAATATATAAGGCCTTACGAGCCATTCGCAGGATGTTTGAGCGGAAACTGTGCGTGTATACATATATATATATATATATACATTCCCGTATGAATTTAAGAATTGATTGAAGAAGACTCCAGTTAGAGTCGAAATATTTTGCGTATTTTTTATATTACTTATGTTAAAGCGTTAATCATTAAATCATTATATTATTATATTAATATTTTTTTTGGCTCAATATGACCTTTTTCATTTGCCAATTAAGAATTGATATTTCAATTCAAAAAACACTCACTTGTAAAAATTTACAAGTTGAATTTGTTACATGTGTATATATATATATATATATACACGTACAGTTTCCGCTCAAACATCCTGCGAATGGCTCGTAAGGCCTTATATATTTCTTGTTATTAATTTCAACGACCCTTAAGTCATAATATTGTTTAAAAATTAAAATTATCTTTAAATCTTATATCTTTAAAAATAATTTCTAAATATAGTCTCTTTAATGGAACAAGAGGAAAGTCGTGAGACATAAAAAATGTCGGAAGATGCATTTAGAGAGTTCGAAGCAGCACACGCACGATATAAAACGCGTATTTGTAGCGCGTTTAAACTTGTTAACCGCGCGATTGACGAGACAAGATAACGCGATCGAGATTTATAATCGATGTACGGTGAAAAGCCTTATGTGCGATCAAACGAGCAAGACAAATCGAGAGATTGGATCGATATCGGCTCTCTCGAAGGAGAGTAGATCGTATAAGGTCGATGACGATAGTTCAGTACTCCCGGATCTGCTATTACACATTTATCAACACACGTATGATTACTGTGCGCGCGCGTGTATAAAACGTATCACTCATATTTGTGCGATCGCGTAACTTTCCCTTGTTTCTTTAGCTCGTTGATCAATTAACTAGCGTTTTTTTTAATTCGAACATAACAATATTGCAAGTGAGACACTTGGATCGAACTCGTATTGTATTACGAAATTAGATGTGTTTTTCTTTCTCCCGATGTCAGTTGTGTGATAATTTTTTTAATGTTGTTGTTATTGTCATGTATTACAATTTAACTTGGATATATGTGTTATGACACAATGCTTCTTCAGATCAACGCGAGACGCTATAATTTGTTCTGTTGATCTGTCTTTCATACGCGTTTGCAACAATTTATAGAAGTCTGATTCGTCGATCGCAAAAACTACTTACTTTCAGAAGTTCGTGCTCCACGGTTTATTTTTGCGAGATAGGCACGGGTTCCGGGGTGGGAGAGTTAACTGCCGCCTCGGCGGGGGGTGGTGGCGAAGGTCTCGCCCCGACTCCAACCCCCGCCAGCAGCAGCAGCGCCAGCACCACCACCATCACTACCACCACCGCCGCCACCCCCAACAGCCCGAGCACGACTACCGCAACTACCACCACCACCACCACCAGCGGCACCGCCACCATCCCACAGGTTGTAACGGGGGCTGAACCGCCCCAGCACATGGAGACACCCCCGACGATGGTCCCCGACCAGCAGGCACCCGCCTCCGGCCATCATTATCACCATCATCATCATCACCATCATCATCATCGGCATCATCGTAGCACGTCCACCACTCCTAGCCATGAACCGGCAACCGACACCTCGGACGAGTTCGCGCCGGTCTCTAGAAAACGGAAGCTTTCCTGCCAGTAAGTTCATTCATTATAATATTATATGACATGTCTTAGATATCTAATGTCTGTCTGTAGATCTAGTCGTTCACACATTTGAGAAGAACTCAAGAACGAATCGATTTCAACGATCTAATTCGCGATAGATCTCCAAATCCCATCTTGTTTGCGTCATCAATGCGTTGCGTTGTTATATCGTTAACAAATCGATAATAAATTTTCACAATATTATAAAAATTTCTTTCCGTTATTTAAATAATTATTGTTTTTCGCGAGATACGTGCGTTATAACACGTAAAAACAAATGTGCGAGAGGTTTGATATATTACCGAACTGATTTGTATTTAGAATGAAGCTAAAGAGAAAATTCTATCGCAGTCTCTTGGCATTTGCATCGTTGAATAAAGCGAGCGAGAAAGGGCAGGAAGAGTGAAGATCTTGCTGGAAAATAAAATAGAGGAAATTCGCGCCACATTCGTGTAGCAGTTTTCTTTTGTCTGCCGCTCTCGAACGACGACGGGTAGAAAAGAATTCGGTGGCAACCAAACGCTTTTCCGGCTCCGCAGAACAGCTAGCGCATATATGTGTGTGTGTGTGTGTGTCTTTCGCGCACCATGTAGGTAGAAGTCGTATCGGAATATTACAAACAACCACATATTAGCGTCGTGGCGCGCGTCGCTCACACGAAACCCGTCAAATGTGTCTCCCGTAGCCAAGTCCGGAATCTCGCGAGTTGTGCAAACAGCGCCACTTGCAACTATTATCAACTTTCTTGTTTCCCTCCTCTCTCTCTCTCTCTCTCTCGCATACTTATCGATATATATCCGGTTTTGAGATGTTTCACGCGCGCGCGCCGGTTTCGGAGTAATTACTCAATCAGAGCCGACGTCGGACGTCGTCGCGTCAAAGGGTGAACTTTATAATTATTGATAGAACGGAAGATTTGCCTCTCTCTCTCCCGCGAGACCAACCACCCGATCGAAATTATCATCTTCTGTAGTACAAGCGCCGCCGTCGCCGCCGCGCGTTGCTCGTTCGAGATTTCGCTACATTTATACGCGGCTGAGGCTCTTATCAACAAAACGGCTTGTCGTTTGAAAAATCCACGCAAAATCGTCGTCGTCGTTCGCATTCCGGTTGAACTTTTTCACCGCGTGAATCTCTCTTCCGAGCCGAAAGTGAAGCGCGTGATTTTGCAACAACCGATTCGTAATCGGTTTTTACGCGACTTTATATAGACGACGGGAAAACTAAAAGGCACGATTGACGCGCCCCGAACGAGATTGAAATGCATGCGCGCAACTTTGTTTTGTTTGTTTTTTTTTTTTTTTTTTTAGTTTTTATTTCTTTACGTACGTCTCTCGCGTTTGCCGAGGTGAGCACCTCCTCTCGCGACGACAAGGGAAATTGTGTCGACGAGCGTTTTCTCCCCTCTTCCTCTTGCAGGAAACCCCACACGTGACTTTTCGAGTTCGAGATACAAAAGAGACGGAGAAGCTCTATGCGAGAGCGAAACTTAGCGAAATTCGCCGTCAAAGGGGTAACACCCGCCGCACACACACACACACCCCTCCGCAAAGGTCGCGCGTATCAAAGAAATTGTTTCTCTGTGATGTCGGGACCGAATTTGATAACCCCGCGGTGGGATTTCGCCAATTACCCTACGTAGATTATCGCGCCTGTGTGCAAATCGACCAAGTATCGCGGAAGAGGGTGAAATTGTCGTGGGACACTGTCGAACTGTGTCGGATGGAGTCGCACTTTACAGAGTCGATCAACGTAAGAGCGATCGCAAAGCGAATTTAATCACAACTATACTCGTCATTTTCACCTCGTAAGATTGTTGTAATTCCGTGATATACTTTTGCAACGCGCGTTGAAAAATATAATTGCGCAAGTTTGCTCGCGATTAATCTGACGTGTCAGTTAAACGAATCAACATGCGGTAACTTAATTTTCTCTCTTGCCAAAATGAAATAATAATAATAACAATTGTTGCAGCGTTGGGAGCGACCTCTTGGACGATCTGGGGGACGACACCAAGTCCGTTCGCACAAATGACGACAGTAAAAAGTAAGTAAGAAAAATCGCAAACGCGCGTTTTTCGAATAAAATAAGTCATAGATCGAAAATACGATTTTCCAAGACCGCGTCGCGCGATTCAATCGATCTCTGCGCCGCTAACGCAACATCAGTCAGCGATTACGTAGTATTATGTCAGATATTGCCAAGGTGAGTGCCACCTTGACCTATCTCGATTCTTTGCTCTGGCTTCATCAGCGACGTCACTAATCCAATGTATTATACTTTCCGCTGTGTGTGCGACGCGCGTGGCGGTCGCGAGATTGCGCGCGTAAGAGTTGTGTTTGTTACGTCACGCGCATTTAGAGCATATTTCGCGTCGCGCGATTCTCAAGAAATTTGTTAATAAATATCAAGAAATAAAGCGCGAATCGATATTTGTTTTTTTTTTACATGTTTCTCTCCTTTTGTACATACATACGTGTTAATTTAAAAACATTTTAAAGAGTTTAGTAAAATAATTAATAATCAATTAACAAAGAGATTTGGTAATTAAGTAAAAAATTGTATAAAAAATTGAAAATTAACATTCGAAGATGTTTTTTCGCGGTTTGAACCGCGGTTAATGTTATTTTTTTATACCGACGCGAACATTTCAGCTCACTTCGTCAGGGTTTCAAGAGCAGCCTGTATCAGACGGTATAAAACCAGACCACTAACGCGGTTTCAAACCCGACAAACATCTTCGAATGTTAATACAACACACCGCGAAAGCATCAAATATCAAAACTTGAAAATTGTTGTTTTGAAACAACTGATGAAATAATAATCGAATGTAATTAAACATAATAACTGATTAATTTTTTTTTTTTTTATTGGCAAAACTGTGTTTCTATCGTACACGGTTATAATATGTACAATATGTATGCATAACTTTGTAACACTCGTTAATTATACACGTTTCGCAGACTCGTTGAGGCCAAACGTAGAAAAATAGCAGCGGATATTACGATAAACTGTTACGATATGGATACACGTGCATGGATCAAATATAATTATGGTACAACATATAGTCCGTCACATACACACACACACACACACAGAGAGAGAGAGAGAGAGAGAGAGAGAGAGAGAGAGAGAGAGAGAGAGAGAGAGAGAGAGAGAGAGAGAGAATCGGGCGAAACTTGTTTTCTACGGCGCAACAATTTCCGCCGTGCAATTTATTCCCCGCGTGCGACATGAATGCGAATTCTTGTGAGACAGATCAGTGGCCTCCCGTTCTGAAAAGAGCATCGGCTTGAATCGCCCTCTCCCCTCTCTGACAATTGACACACTGTCGCCGATTGTCGCATAACGGAAGCGTAACATCGTCTCGAATCCGCTCGCTCGCTCACAGAGCGCGCGATGAGAAAAACACTCTCCGCGTCGAGTCTAATTAATAATCAGCATTGATTCAAGCGTCACGGCGCGTGGATCGAATCTGGAATAAAATTAAAAAAAAGAATCGCTGAGTGAGTACGGCAGGGAGTATGTTACTAGTGTCGCTACGCGTCGTTCGGTAACTTGGCCACATTCCCGATCCTGTTTCTTGCTTACACCGGGACGCCACGGTGCGAGACGACACGTGACTTTCAATTCCTCGAACTTTTATCCGAAGAGGAGAAGATAGAAACGGGAGTGATGAATAACAAAATTCGACACCGTGCAGCGACATCGCGACCTGAACCCATTTTACACGTTTTGTTTTTAATAAACAATCATAGCGCAAAATATACGGACGGCTTATCTCATTTGGCGTAAAAATAAATCTCTAACAACGTGTTTTTAATAATGACTCGACACTTTGTGATTAATCGAGAAATTAGGCGGTGAGATACTTACAGTCTCCGTTTTTATATTTTCAGACAGAATCACAGCGAGATCGAGAAACGCAGGAGGGACAAAATGAACACGTACATCACCGAGCTGTCGGCGATGGTGCCGATGTGCCACGCTATGTCGCGGAAGCTGGACAAGCTGACCGTGCTGCGTATGGCGGTGCAGCATCTCAAGACCATCCTCGGCGCGGTTACCTCGTACACGGAAGGTCACTACAAACCCGCGTTTCTCAGCGATCAGGAACTCAAGACGCTCATACTTCAAGTGAGTTCAGCTCGTGCACTCGCGTAATTTATAACAAAAAAAAAAAAAAAAACGTAACTGTGTTTGTTTTGAGATTGTCGTAATATAAAAATATAATCGAAGAAGAAAGTAAAATAAATAATAATTACGTTCTTTTTATCTTGCGCGCATCGGACATTTACTTTGAAAAATTCACGTTTTTCTATACTTTTTTTTATCATAAAAATTTTATTTAAAACAAAAATTTCTCCGTATAAAAATCATCAGTTGAGTTTTTTTTATTTCCGTCGAACGCGACCGTCCGACCGGACTGTCTGATGTCGCGTGAAGAAATCGATAAGTTCGATTTGCTTATTAATTTATTTTTGTCGCGTACGTCAGTTTTAGTCCTGGGAGAGCGAATTCGAGTTATGCGACAATGATATGCGGCAAATCGAGCAAGTGGAACGATCACGAGACCGGAGTTAGTTCATTAAACTGTGGAATTACGTCTCGTTGTATCGTTTGACTTGAAATTCATTTACAATGTGGATTTTTGCGCGGTTCACAAGAGGCCGCGCGTTGGTGCCGCGCTTTTGTAATCCTTTCGCACGCGAGAGATATCTCTGGAGCGCGGAGCGAAACCGGCGCGGGTATAAACTCCCTTTCTCCCGCCACAGATTTTTTATTTTTTTATTTTTTTTTTTTATTTGATCTCTCTCGGAGACTCGGTCTCGTGCCGGCGAAAGGAAAGGTCTGAGGCATGTAGATTTATAGTATATATTCGCGCTATAATGATATCCCAGGTGCTCCCAATTCACCTACGCCTGTAATTCCGAGCCAATTTGGTCTGGGAAAATTTCCAGCTGAGAAACGGGGAACACACGCGTCAACAGGCAAAGTGGTTTTTTTTTTTTTATCTGTTACAGGCCTCTCGATTTAATTTGAAACAACAAGTGAACTTGTGTTTAGATGATCGGGCGACTGAAAAAAATTACGAATTTGCAAACTTTATACCTAATTTGCTACCGAATGTTTGTAAGAAAGGTGACTTCGGTGACGAGTCGAATTATTTTCGGTTTTGTCAACTCGCGATTAGAGAAACAAACGAATATAGAAATTGAAATTCATATCCTGAAAATATGCGCGTGTCAATCTCGTCTTCCCGAGAAAAGTCGAGACGTTCATCAGATGCTCTCCTTATAGCGACCGATATCGCGTTCACCTCGTTCGAGAGACTTGCCTCAAGACTTTTCGTTCGCTCTCAGCGCGCGTTCGAACGTCGCTCGGTGTTGCCGTACGCGCAGATATTTCTCATTGTCATGTGTTGCCGCGCGCAACACGCGCGTTTATCTTTTATCGGGAGGAGGGAGGGGGGAGGGGAGGAGGTGCTTTCCCGCACCCGCCCGTAAGAAAATATCCGCGAGTGAATGACCACACCCGGCATACCAAGTCGGGATCGGCTCTGCCGCGCGCGGCTCTAAACGCGGTATAATTGCGGCATATAAAGCTCCCTATTGTGAATCGGTAACGTTTTATTGCTCTCAAGATCCCGGTCCCGCGACTGTGTCGGCTGACAGAAATAATAACGCTTGTGTTTCGCGCTCGCGGGGAACGAAAAAAATTCGACGATTTTGTCGCGATCTCATTAAAAAAGTCATTAGAGGCGCTTGGGTTCGCAATAACGGAGCAATTACATTTGTCGCGCGCATTATTCGCGCGAATATAACGCGTGTCGCGTTATATACGTAGTATATGCAAGATTTGTTGCGTTTCGAATGCGGTCGCGAATAATAATAATAAACACGCGGGACGAAAAACAAATCAATCCGACTTTACGACGGTTCTCGACGCGGCATCGTCTCGTTAAAAAACCGCGCCGCTAAATCTTCTCGGGAAAATTTAATACCTTATATGTTTCACATAAAAATAGTTTTTTTTTCAAACGCGGTGTGTATCGCGCGTCAATTTCCGGCGCGAAAACACGTAACTTGCGTTTTTGTTTTCAAACGTTACGAGAAAACCGATTGATAAGTATCCGAAACGTAGATAGAAGCCTAGCCTAGACGTGCGTCGTTTCGGATACTTATCAATCGTCTCACGTATAGCAAAGCACGAGAGATACCGAACGCGAATTATACAAATTGATTCACAATGAAAATTGACACACAATTCGCACACATTGGTAGAAGTAATACGCGCACAGTTTGTGATCTCGCACGCAATTTTCTCTTCTCAGATGATGAACGAATTCGACACAAAAGAGATGCGAGATCGCTTCGCGCGCGGTCGCAATTATAATATTTAATCTCTGCAGCGTAACGGAAAGCAGCTTGTCTTGTTTCAGGCCGCGGAGGGCTTTGTATTCGTAGTTGGCTGCGATCGTGGGAGAATACTCTACGTGTCCGAGTCCGTTTTGCAAACACTCAATTATTCTCAGGTATTGAAAACTAGACAGGTATAAAAAAAAAAAAAAACAACGGCCAGTGTCTGCTTTTATATCTCATATATAAATTTGCACTTCTCTCTCATTTGTTACGCGAAAGATCGCGTTCAGAAGCGAATTCACACGTGTGATTCTTCGCGTCTTTGACCTTTAGAAGACCGCAGTGGCCACTATAGTGGCCAGAAAAATAGGTAACTATTTAATGTGCATATAAAAATATATAATAGGTGTATATGCATATATATGTTAATGTATATATGCTTGAGAAGCATGTATTTATATGCGTAACACCTTTTGTTTCGAAAATTTTCATATAAAAGAAACATTACCATAAATTCCTACGCACAAAATATAAATTTATTTATTTTATAATTTTATTTTTATTAAAATATATTTATTTACAATTTTATTTTTCCATTTCAAAACAATAAATAGCAAAATTTAAAAAAATACAAAAAAATAAAAAAACAATGCAAAAATAAATTTATAAAAGAAAAAAATTAAAAACTACAAAAATAACAAAACAGTTTTTAAACAAAAAAGAAGCTACATAACTTTCTACGTCCACGCCGTTAGCTCTGGGTAACGCCGAAGGAAAGTTTTTATGTACGAATGTAACTCATTTAGGTTGGCAACACTGTTCCTGTGTAAAATTTTGATAATCTGACATTGGAATCGTACTTAGCGATATGAAAAACCCTTAAAACCACTAAAATTCAAATTTTGAAAATTTTCAACATCGGCCATACGTTTAAGAGTACCGCTCTGGCCACTACCAGTGACCAGCAACAAACTCGGAAACTTTGCGCTACACGTAGGTTCTATATATGCATACATTTGTCGTTAAAAAAAAAATCAACATTTTAAAGGAAAACTGCCGGTCTTCTAAAAGTTAACGGCTAATTAATCAACACGTCAGTAATCTACCGTAATCTACGCTCGGATATAATTGTCACGATATTTTTTTCATTTTATTGATTGTAAATTTATCTCCCGAAATGTTTGTTAAATGTCTATATGACGTTCGATTATGTCAACGCGCGCGCGCGCGACTGCCATTGCGCAATAACAGTCTAATTTGCAATCTTGTTAGCGTTCTTTTGTTCTTGAATAATTTTATTCTTGAATAATTTTTCATCGTAAAGTAACTATATTTGCAAAAATTGAATGAAAAAAAACTGCTGAGTAAAGTAAATACGGCAGTTTCTCTCGTTGGAGAAACAAAATCTACCTCGTTAAGAGAGAGCATCTCTGATCTGCGGCGAAAAACGATCGGTAAAAATAAAATTTGACAGTCGAATTTATGTGAAAAATTAATAATTGCAAATCAAGATAACGGTGTATAACAACTCTTTTTGAAGAGAAATTAGACTGAATTGATTCGGATTGATTGTAGCCCCGTTAGTACGTGTCCCACGTTTAGTCTTTTTATTTCTATTGGGGGAGAGGAGAGGCGCGCAAACACACACTCTGTGTCGTATCGAGTATGTTAATGCCGTTGCAGGGTGACCTGTTGGGTCAGAGTTGGTTCGACATCTTGCATCCCAAGGATGTCGCCAAGGTGAAGGAGCAGCTCTCGTCCTCCGATCTCAGTCCGCGAGAGCGGCTGATCGACGCGAAAAGTAAGTAAAACGTTAAAAAAAAAAAAATACATGTTGTATTTTCACATAGCGCCGCCGTTTCTCCACGTTCAAATCACAAATCCCGCACGGATAGTTTCTTACAGAGGAGTTACTTCCCACTTTCGAAGCCATTAATTATAATAGCCGTCTTTCGAGACGTTGCCTCACGACGACGCCGACGATCACGAGGGCGTCGATCATCTTCGCGCGAGCGCAAATTATATTTTACATTCCTCGGCGCGCATCTCTCTTTCCACCTTCACTCGATAAATGTCAGTCGCTCGGCAGCATTTGTTGCTCGCGCGCGCGCACAAGCTTATCTCTTCGTCGATATAAACATCTTTTCGAATTAGCCTGGTCGCGAACACACGGGAAGAAACCCGCATATGTTACGAAAGCTTCGCGCCGGCTGGTCGAACGAGGGAAGAAAACCCGAACCGGGTCTGATATGTCAGGATTCCTCGGACGCGTCGCGCGAAGTATTCGCGAGATTAAGATTAAAATGTTTAAAAACGCCTCAGGTGTGAGATTGCGACATCGCAACGCCGTGTCGTTATTTTCACGTTTTTACGACGAGAAGAGAGACGTTTGATGAAATGTAGAAAGGAAAACGAACAAAGTGCGGTGCGGAGAGAATTGGATTGGAATCGAAGAACGGTTGGACTCCCGTCTCTGTCATCGTGATATTATTTCCAGCCATGTTGCCGATGAAAACCGACGTACCCCAGGGTGTGTCACGACTCTGCCCCGGCGCGCGAAGGTCTTTCTTCTGTCGAATGAAACGCAAAGTCGACGGAGTTCTTTGCGGCGAGATGCAGGTGAAAGAGGAAGCGGACGCCACTACCGGCTGCCACAGGCGGAAGAAGCAGCAAAACGTAGGTGAGTAGGAAAATTTATCAGAATTTCTCGATAATCAATCTCAAGAGAGAGAAAGCAAGATTGATGAGAGAAATCGAACCTCCGTCGTCATTGCGTCAAAAAAAAAAAAAAATCCAACTGTAAGATCAATATTTTTCGAAAAAGAGAGACAACCTCTCTTAGAATTTTGTTTAATTTTTTTATTTCGCCAGACTCATTTTAAATCGCATCCTCGGATGCGTGATTTCGATCGTATTTTTATCGGCCTCATATTTTTTACGAAGGGAGAAAGAGAGAATTTCGCACTTTTGTGCGCGCGATCGTCTTCCTCAATGACGACGGAATTCGAATTTTCTTTGAAGAAGAAGCGAGGCTTCCGCTTCGTAATGCGGAAATACATCGAGGTATATTCTCGAGTATTTGAAAAATAGACGTGTCTTTCGGACACCGAGAGATCGTTGCACGCACGATCGAAGACGCGGTATGAGAGTTTTGCCGCGTGGCTCGTCACAGGTGAAAAGTGGAGGCTGCAGTGCCGAGGACAGAAAACGACCGGTGTGTGAAAGGAGATATCGCGCGACTATCGATATCCTCATCGTCAAATATCTCGCCAGCAATCACAGAGTCTCGACTATCTTTTGGTGTTTTTCTTTTTTTTTTTGCTATTTCGAAACATATAGCGAACCGTGTGTGCACGGTAAAAAGATATATATATAACGTTAGTTTGTAGATATTTATAAAAATTGCGAATTCAAACCCGACGAGAGAACCTGCGCATTTTCCTCCGGTGTGTGTGTTTCAGATTGGAAATACTGCGTGATTCAATGCACCGGTTATCTGAAGTCCTGGGCGCCCGCGAAGATCGGCGTCGAGGAGCAGGAGGGCGAGGCCGACGGCGAGGCCTGCAATCTGTCCTGCTTGGTCGCGGTCGGCCGAATTCAAACGGCGATATCGACTGCCGCTTTATCATCGAGAAAGCCCCAGTTGCGGCCAATACAATTCATCTCGCGACACGCGATGGACGGCAAATTTCTCTTCGCGGACCAAAGGTCGGTATATTATATCGCGTCGCGACACGTCGTTACATTTGACGTTTTTTTTTTTAACGGAGATTCGGGGTTTTTGAAACGCTCGTTTTTTTACACCCGCAAACTTTTATACGCGCGCGGATTTGATGTCGGACTTGGACTCTTGATTCTTGAGAGGGATGATCTTTCTCTCGTCGTTTAGAGCTACTCCAGTATTGGGCTTTCTACCTCAGGAACTGCTGGGCACCAGTATGTACGAATACTATCATCACGACGACATCCCTCGTCTGGCGGAGTCCCACAAAGCGGCGTTGCAGACGTTCGAGCGCGTCACCACACAGGTAAGATGAAACACACTCGATCGCAACGCGAGCCGCCCTTCCCTCTTCCCTCCCGTTCTTCACCAGAGTGATTGTCGATATTTTTTGAAGATTTATTTGTTATTTTTATTAATTGGCCGCGCTTAAACATAATTCGTGTCTCAAACAATGTTAATCGCAGTAAGAAAAATACACCTACACGATTTGCTCTTTTGCACTATAATATCGTTTCTGCGCAGATCTACAGGTTCCGGAGCAAGAGCGGGAACTTCGTGAGGCTGCAGTCCGAATGGAAGTCCTTCAGAAACCCGTGGACCAAAGACATCGAGTACCTAATCGCCAAGAATTCCGCTATCTTGTAAGCGATGACGTTCACACACACACACACACACACGGCACATGCGCGCGCGCGCGCGATGACTATTGTGTAAAGAGCACTCTGTGACTTTTTCAGCTGCGACGCGCGTCCAGACGGAAATAACGGATCGGAGGACTCGAGCGTGCAGGGCAATTACGATTACTTCACGCAGAGTAAGTGCGATTTGAACAATTTCGCACGCTTGTTCTGTGTCTTTCCGTTTTTTTTTCTCATTCTTTTTATCCGGATCATCGGATTTTATCTTCTTGTTACTTATAAAAACTTTTTAACGAGCAAATAAATAAGTAATACCTGAAGATGGTTTTGGAACCGCGTGTTAGTGTCATTTCAGTTCACTCGGAGTTTCAAGAGAGAGTAACTTGATACTCTCGAAACTCTGATGAAGCGAATTGAATTACGACGGTATGAAGATGACTACGATAACGCGGTTCCAAAAACCCGAAAACCTCATCTTCGGATTATTATAATGCAACATATTGCGAAAACCGTCAAGTCATCAAATAAATACTTCTGTGTGATCACGAATCATTAGCGATTGAGATACCGCGCTTGATTTGCTTACGCAGTTAACGGTGGACTAGAAAGACTGATCTCAAGTCACGTGGAGGTAAGTAAGATCGGCCGGCAAATAGCGGAGGAGGTGCTAGATCTGCAGAGACGCGGAGAAGACTCCTCCTCGGGCAGCAGTCCCGGTCCGACGACGGAAGCCGGCTTGCTCAATGCCGAGGTAAATTCGCGCGCTCATCGGGACCGGAACCGACCGACGGACGTTTGTAACTTGTTTTTCTGTTTTTGTTTTTAATTGAAGTCGCAAATCACAACGACGGCGACGACGACGACGACGACGTCGCCGGAGAGAATACCTGACGTGTCCCAATCGGGTGGCATCGGCAGTGAGAACAGCAGCAGCAATCCCACGTCTACGTTCAACCACATTGTGAACAACGTGCAGCTCAGCAGCATCGCGAATGACCAAGGTCATAGCTATTACTGTCTCTAAGGAGTCGTTTCTTGGTGTGTAGTGCGATTGCCAAAATTATTCGAAAAGAGGAAAAGGGGATTTAAAGAACGCGAAGGACGTTTGTGTTTTGCTAGCTCACACACGTGTGGCTATCACACAAAACCGCTCTCGATCGGTTTGACGCGATATAATTTTTTTTTTTTGCCCGAAGAGAAGACCCGATATGGGAGAACTGTTTTCTCCGTTATTGTCTCTTCAACAGAACTTGTATTTGTTACTTGAATCTGAAAATCTTTACATCCTTGTTTCAGCTCGGCTTCGAAGGCCACTTTTATGCGATTTGTTCTGTGCTATTCATAGAACGCGAGCGAATTTGACTTATTCATTGATGATTTAATGTGATATCGATTTTTTTTTTTTTAATTATTATTATTATTACGCTGAAACCACAATCTACGTAATATGTATATGTTGTCGATGTACAGCGCGCGAGATAATATATATATATATATATCAGCGGCGCCGTCTCGATATATCCAGCGACAATCACGCACAACGTAACATTCACCTCCTTTCAGGAGCGTCACCAGACGAGGACGTGATGGACATGATCGGCAGCTCCGCGATTAACGAGTCGCCGAATCCGATCCCGTCCGACGGCAATGACGAGGCAGCGATGGCTGTCATCATGAGCCTGCTGGAGGCTGACGCGGGTCTGGGCGGACCCGTGGATTTTTCCGGACTGCCGTGGCCGTTACCGTAGCAGCATCTTTTTTTGTCCGCGATGTGCGATTGTTTTGTCGCTCACAAAGAACAGTTCAAAATACACACGTGGTGCTGAAATGGTGCTCTTGAGAAACAAGACTTTGTTAAGAATCGAACGAGAACTCTCTGCGTAGGGGTTTCGCAAACGGAATTATACGCGGTCGAACTTTAACTCTATCGATTGTTTTTTTTTTTTTTTTTTTTTTTTTTTTTTTTTCCAATAGAATTCTGTGGATTTAGAGAATCATTTTATATATGTATGTTTAATTGTCTGTTGTTGTTAAAAAAAAAAAAGAGAAAGAAACACGCGCCTGTGACGAATTCTCGCAGTGATAAAAGTGGTGCGGACAATATGACAGTGACAAATTACGTTGTATGTGTAAATATTACGTTATACATGTATAGATATGTGCGATATAACATGTACATGTGGATGTGTGTGGGTGTGTGTGTGCGTGCGCGCGCATTTATATGTAGTTAAACTCTCAAAATGTCTGTGGCAGAAGTTGTGTGTGAGAAAACGTTTGCATTTCACACAACGGCGGTTGCGCCCATGTCTAACAGAGCGAGAATGACGTGTATCTCGAAAATGAAAAACTGTCGACCGCGCCAGTGAGTATTTGTCCACTTCGAGAAGAGAAGACTCTAGGTGTTGTTCACGTGTTGTTCGAATTAAAGAAGACATGTTCTTCAGTTTACAAACTTCAAAAAACTCGATTTTTTGTCAATTTTTGCGATTCCACAAACAGAATAATTGTTCTCTTCCCGCGGCTATTAAAGTAAAACCAGCGACTCTCTTGTATAAACTTCTTTTTGAAATTTGTTTCTTAAATACAACAGCTACCAAACAACACAACCGTTAGTTACCAACAACAAAGTACATACAAGAATAAAAAAATGACAAGTGACAAACGCTCTCGAAACTCTCGAATCTTTTGTTTGTAAAAATTTGTTCTCGAAAGAGAGCGAGATAAATCATGTGCAAATGTTTTCAATTTATTATTTATTACCATTTTCCTTCTTAGGATATTGGTCGAATTACATAATCCAGTCGTTTCCGGTCCAGCAATCTTTTCTCCGTAGATTTTTTTTTATTTCAACCGTTCTGTATCGCATATCGCAAAAATCATATCGTATAATATTTTACGTATTTGCTGGAAACGCAAAGTGAAACGTGACAAAAAGCTAATGTATAAAAATGACACGATTTGCTTTATTTATTATTCAATATTTACAAACATGCGACAAGTGTTTAAACAAAACATCTCGATACATCGATCATTTCTCTCGGTACGAATCAAAATAATTTCAGTTGGCAAAATCTCGCAATGTGCACCAATGACAAAACAATTGTCAGATAATACAATACATATATATATATATATATATATATATATATATATATTTATATTGTATTATCTGACATATATATCGTATACTCGCGGATATGAGCTATTGATGTACAAATCACTTTGGATATTAATATCCGCCAAGTACAAACTCGTTGTTATAAGTGTGTTCAATTAATTACTCATCGTGTAATCGACATGCTTGAACTCACCAGGCACATTATAGACGCTTGTATCTCGCTAAAAATGTCCGATTAGACGGATAACAAAAGCTAAAACCAGAAAATCGTCAATTTTTGTAGACAAAAGTGATCGAGACGATAACACAGCTTTTTCCGAAAAAAAAAAAAAGTTTCAGAGCTTTAAGTGTCTAAGAGACCGACTCGCGGACTACGACGTGTGTACGTTAAGATAATTTGTACGTATCAATAAAACTGTTTTTATGTTTCGTATTATATAATTTTTTGTCTTCTCTGAACAAAAAAAAAAACACACACAAACGCGCAATCCGAGCCTCTTCGAGCTACATACGTCAACATCATCATTTTTGTTTCATCCATGAGATATGATAAAAAAAAAAAAAAAACAAGAAAAAACCAGTAAATGTATAAATGACATGATGTAGGTGATACACACTGCTGTATAATCTAATTGTTCGATATTAAAATTAAGTGAAAAACCTACACTAGGTTCAGTCCTTTATCGTTTTTGTTTTTCGCCATTTGTCTTTTCTCCGTTGAAAAGAATATTTATATCGGAGAGACGCGTGATAGCGCGTCAAATATACATATTTATTTTAAATTGTATAAGATATTATATACATACATATATATATATTTGTAGGTAATTCGTTTGTAAAAATAATTTCTTAAAAATTAATTCTTCCCACATCTGTTTTTTTTTTTTCTATCTTACACAATAACGATTCGCAATTGTCTCCCAAATGTGGTCAATTCTCTGTTCTACTTATTTTTGATTCAACTAGAAATTCAATCAGAATGAACGCACGAACTCTAACTCGAGGAACTTTACCTTTTTTTGCTTCGATTTTGAGAAAAGTGGATATATACAATTTGGAAAAGGAAAGAGAACGTCTTTTTTTTTCTTGGTCTTTAGTTTGCACGTAGTATGACGCTAAGTTTCGGGACGGGAGGTTGAGAGAAAGTGCGATACAGAGTGAACAAACGTACACGGGGGGAAGTGGAATGAGAGGGATGACACATGTAATTTGTTCAAATTTGAAACTTGAAATCCGTGAAAAAAAAAGACCGGAGGAATATAAAAAGCACATCTTTTGCTCTTTGAACTTTTAAAAAATAAATTAAAAAAAGAGTAATAAAAGGTTTTTATAATAAAACTGTGTTTTATTATAAAAATTGTGTCATTTATTTATTTTTTTTTTTTTCAATTTTCTACCTCACTGAACTTTTCCTGTTTAATCTTCACATTGTTAATCTCGCTACTAGAGTGCTCGGATTTTACAGTACTTTTGCTCTCGTCTTCAAAAACGTTCTCATCGAATTTACGATTCCGTTTTTGTTTCTTTTGCTGATTGTCTCGCTCGGGAAGAACTTTGTTGTTGGTGAACTCGGATTTTAGAATACTTTCACTTTTGTCTTCAAAGACATCCTCGTCGGAATTTCTTTTCTGTTTCTTTCGATGACCGTCTCGCTCTCCGTTGAGACGAACTTTGTCGTGCTCGGATTTTACAATATTTTTTTCACTTTTGTCTTCATTAACATCCTCGTCGTCGGATTTGAGACTCCTTTTCCGTTTCTTTCGCTCTTTGTCGGTAAGAGCCTCGTCGTGCTCGGATTTTACAGTACGTTCACTTTCATCCTCACATACGTCTTTGTTAGATTTATGATTTTTTTTCCGTTTCTTTCGCTCTTTGTCGGTAAGAGCCTCGTCGTGCTCAGATTTTACAGTACGTTCACTTTCATCCTCACATACGTCTTCGTTAGATTTATGATTTTTTTTCCGTTTCTTTCGCCGACCGTCTCGCTCTCTGTCGGAAAGAGCTTCGTGATCGGATTTTACAATACGTTCACTTTCGTCCTCACAGTTATCTTCGTCGGATCTATGACTCCTTTTCCGTTTCCTTGGCTGACTGTCACGCTCTTCGTCGAGATGAAATTTGTCGCGCTCGGATTTTAAAGTATTTTTACTTTGGTCTTTGAAGACGTCCTCGTTGGATTTGCGACTTTTCTCGTGTTTCTTTTGCTCCCCGTCAGAAAGAGATTCGTCGTGCTCAAATTTTACAATACCTTCGTTTTTATCTTTAATAACGTCTTCGTCGGACTTACGACGCTTCTTTTTCTTCCGCGAACTATATCGCTCTCTGTCGGAAAGAACTTCGTCCTCCGTTGGAGAGGACATCTTTTCAACTTTGATTTTTACGTTGGCTACTTCCTCCACTTCAACATTTGCATCGTTCATTGTATTGTAATTTTCAACAACATAATCATTGATATTTATCTTGCGCTCTTGCGGCCAATCGAACTGTGACGTGGACTCCGAATTGTTTTCAATCCCGTTACTCATCTCATAAACATTATTGATGTTTATTCTGCATCCTTGCGAATAGTCAGACTGTAAAGTGGCGCAAATGAAAGGAGGTCTGCACATGTAATCTATATGATTTATACAACATCTAACTTCCTGACCAACTTCTATCAAGTCGCCCAACCATTCATCGGCATCGTCTGGTTTTGGTACAGATATTGTATACATTTTATTCACCAAAACAACAATATAATCCAGTCCCTTCTTGTTCACTGTGCCTGTAAATTTTTAACAAGTATCGTAATTATGTTCAAAAACATCAAGTTGCAACAAATAATACCGCTACTAAATACAACAAAGAATAATCAGAATCACCTTTCACATAGGATCCCACCAATGGACGAAACAGATAAAACTCTGTGTCAACGTCAATGTGAACAAAGGGAGAGTCAAAACGTACTTCTGTAAGATTACTGATCAGTTTTGGATTTTTATACGTCAACACAAATCCTTTCAATCTAGAAACAATGAATTGTCACATTTTTATAATTCTCCACCATCAAATTGTCTGGCTGGTAAATATATTATATCATTATCATATACATCAGTCACAAAACAGTGGAACATGTATATACTAATATGTTTAAATTTTCTACACCATATTTTCTCTCTTTGTAAANAGAAAAACAAACAGAAAATAAAATATAAAATACAACTATAAAATATGTTATAGACAACTGTGTCAGCTGTAATACATACTCTCTGTCGTAGGTGTGTAACAACGAATTTAAAATCTGATTCACACCCTGTTGGATGTTGTTTAAGTGGTAAGGATGTAGGGCTATATGCTTTGTCATTCTCACAAAATGCACGTGAGAATCTTCGTCCTCCAAAAGTCCGGTAAGCTCCAAACCCGACCACGGTATTGTCTGATTCGTTTGAGNCTTCATTTCTCTTCTCAAAAAAATAATTCGCACATTGATTGCACATGTAAACGAAGAATTTAGGGTTAGGTAAGGTTATATCAGGTTATATTGCACGCGACAAAGATATATACCAGAGGAAAGACTGAGAGCGGCTCTGGTTTATAGCTGTTATCGCTGTTCGCCAGCGCTATGTTCACAATTAGGTCTGTTCTTTTTACCTGAACTGGCTGCACTAGTTCAGAGTTTATCTTTTTCACTCGACATTGGGAAAAAGAAAGATGAACTCTGAACTAGCGTAGCCAGTTCAGGTAAAAAGAACAGACCTATTGGCAACTACGTAGCCATCATCAGTCCACCACGAGTCCACGAGCAATTTGTCGGTGCGTACCCGGTCTTCTCTCCGCTTTGGTTGAGAAGAAAGAGGAAAAGAAGGATCTAAGCTAGGACCTAAGGATACCTAGCTTGACCACCAAGCTGCCAGCAAAATACCACAGTGTATTCAATTGGGTTATGGCAGGTTATAAGAAGGTGGTAAAGTATTTATTTTGTTCGTAAGATACACTCTCTCTTTGGTTAACATTTATACGGTTTATACGTACGAAAGATTCGAGTTTGTGAAATATAGAAAAAGTTAAAGTATCGTGTAAAATTATATTGTACTAAACTTAAGACTATATTTTTTGTTGTTGTGTCGCGCGGAAGAAGTTCTTTGCGATAAGAGTAGTTGTTACTTAATTAATATGTAAATAGTAATATTGTGTGTGTGTGTGTGTGTCTTGACTATCAAAACGTAGTTTATTTTTGTCAACGTATTTTTGTGTGAAATAAGTTTGTATTTTTTGTATTGCTTACTTTACAGGTAATGTCGGATTCCGAGTTGTCGGAAGTCCTTTGTCCTAAGCAAAGGACTTACGAAGAGGTGTTAAAACAAAAACAAGATGAAGAAGGTCACGAAACTGCCACTACAAGCAAACAGACTCACGTTGAATATACCGTACTGAAGTTATATCAATCTTCCAAAGAACCTACCTTACTTAGGATGAAACATATTAGTTTCTTGAAGAATGCGGTTACTCACTTGAATGAAGCTTACGAGGTATTTGTTCTCTCTTTGTTAATATAGAAAAATATAGAAAAAAAAAAAACAAAAAACACAAAATTGAACTCCAATTTTGCTACGTGACAATTTGACTTGTGTTCATTTGTAATGACAAAAAATTCATGCGGCATTTACAATGTGATAATAGTGTTTGGACTGCAGCAGACCATGGCTGTGCTTTTGGATATTGCACTCCCTTGCGATATTGGGAGAACGTTTGAGTAAAGAGGAACAATCCAAGATAGTGGGTTTTCTAGCTAGGTGCCAATCGCCAACGGGTGGTTTTGGAGGAGGCCCAGGGCAGTATCCACATCTGGCAGCTACTTACGCCGCTGTGAATGCACTGTGCACTATCGGCACGCGGGAAGCATATAACACAATATATAGGTATGTGCGTGCAGATAAAGTGAATAAAATAAAATTCACTGCGAGCGCATGTGAAGCCGAAGAAACTGCTATTTGCAATGTGTGCGAAATTTTTGCGATAAATTTTTCAGAAAGAGTTTGAAAAAGTTTCTGTCGTCCTTACGCGGTGAGGACGGTTCTTTCGCTATGCATGAAAACGGAGAGGCGGATATAAGAGGACCGTATTGCGCCCTTGCTGCTGCTAAACTGACAAATGTATATACTCCGGATATGTTCAAAGGCACAGCCGAGTGGATAGGCAAGTGTCAAACGTGGGAAGGTGGCTTTGGGGGTTCTCCAGGAATGGAAGCTCATGGCGGATACGCGTATTGCGGCATAGCCTCGCTCGTGATGCTCGGCAGAACGGAACTTTGCCACTTGCCCTCGCTGTTGGTAAGATTATCGAGATATTTCACACACGTTTCTCTGTAGAGTCTTTCATTCTCGCTTTTTTTTTTTTTTTAACAGAGATGGATAGTAAATAAACAAATGCGTCTGGAAGGCGGCTTTCAAGGACGTACGAACAAATTGGTGGACGGTTGCTACTCGTTCTGGCAGGGCGGTTCGTTTCCGCTGATCAGCGCTATATTGTCAAACCAGGACAAATCGTTGAATGTCTCGGATCACTGGCTGTTCAATCAAGAGGCGTTGCAGGAGTACATATTAGTCTGCAGTCAGAATCCGCACGGCGGTCTCTTGGATAAACCCGGAAAGTACGTAGAGCATTTTCGCGCATTTTTCACGCGATTCGCGCGCTTTTTTTTTTGTCTCACGTTAGTGATGATTTTTGCACACTTTTCTTTTCAGAAATCGTGACATATACCACACGTGTTACACTCTCAGTGGATTGTCGATTGCGCAAAACTCGCCGATAAGAACGATCGTCGGCACGAAATCCTTGAACAGGGTAGAACTTATCCATCCTACTTACAATTTGCAAATGAATGCTGCGAATAAAGCGCTAGAATATTTTCTATCCTTACCGATACCTTTTGATTGATGCGGTTTGCTTGTTTTAGCACGTTGGTAACGTTTGTATGTTTTTCCTAAAAAAGAAAAAAAAAAGAAAAAAAGAAAAAGAAAATTACAGAGAAAGTAAATCTTACCTCGTTGATCAATTATGTAGAGAGCTATTTGTGTACACATGAAATTCCGCATTTATTTCTTATAATAAAAATTAGATCAAAAAATGTCACATTTTTAGTTTTTAATCAAATATTGCGGTCAGTTCTCTTAACGAACATTTGGATTATTGTTTAGCAAAGAAGATTGAAAAAACACTACATTCTATCTTCGTTGTAATTTTATTGCATACGTATAAAATTTAGAGACGCGGAACGATTGACACCAAGTTTCATCCTTCGGAACAAAATCCGTCAAACGCTGCTTCATAACACGCTTGTGTGACAGCAACGTGATATTTACTTTCGTTATCTATGTGTTTTTTCTGATACTTCGAATCAAATTGTTCCTCACATGTAAATTTATTTATAATTTATTCGTAAAAAAAAACACCATAGAGCTTTCTCTTTCTATCTCTCTCTCTCTGAAAAAGCTTTTTCTCAATCACACAGTCGTGGGATCAATAAAGACGTTAAGAACTACTTTGTGTAAATAATAATAATACAAGAATAATTCAGAGACAAGATCTCTATTGCAACAAGTGATCTTATACACACATATATATATATGTACATGTAAATTAATCGACATACTCTCGTTACTTACATATGCAATTATTACTCGTTACTTTATATATATATATATGCAATTCAATATATACTTCTACTCTCGAGAAAATTATTAAAAATGCAGAAAAATACATTTTTTTTTTTTTTTACCTCACTAGAAGAAAGATCTCATTATACGTATATATGAGTTTTTAAATATTCCACTCAGCGAACTCGCTTGATATATATTACTCACGTCGATAAACTTAAATAATACGCTAATGTTCCTCTACAATATTGTAAAAACTAGTCATTTTTTTGTCACGCATTATTGTAAAAACTAGTCATTTTTCAATATTTTGCTTGGAGATTTTATACAAACTTAGCTTAAGAGTTATTGAGAGAAACAGTAATATAGAGATGATACAAAATCTACGGAAGTGTGTTCCGTGAAGGAAGTTTCGTGATAATATATACGTCGGCGTATACACCGAACACGTTGAATGGCATATATATTTTATTACAGATATTAACGCACCGATTTACTGTATAATACTGTGTGTGTGTATATATATATATATATATATATCATTGCAACAATGATACTTGGCATCCTTTCTTTACGTTCGTCAATAAATACGTGAAGTAACACATACAGACTAAAAACTATGTCTTTTATATGAATTTAATTTGAAACAGTTGTCCTTTATACGCTCGTAATTGCTCTTCGAATGTTCGAACGGGAAGTTAAACAAGAACATCGTCTGACAAGAAACGAGTAATTATCAAATAACGGTAATTAACATGTGAATGCGTTAAATAATAATAAATGATAAAAATGCTTGAGAACAGCAGTTTTTGGATAATTGCGTCGATATGGCCGATTATCTCATGGTTTGCAGATTTATACGCACGGTTCGACATAGTTACCCGGAAATAATCCGGTTATTCCGTCCATAACTCCCTCCCACCAGCCGTCGTCGTTTTTCTTGAGCACATAGATCACAGAACTCTCTTGGAAACTTAATTCGTCCTCTTTGTCAGCATAATAATCATAAATAGCTACCACTGCAATTATAAAATTTTATGTATTTTACTGCATATTCCCTCTGTATGTTTTATACACTGACTTGTTACTTTTGCAGCACAAAATAGACACGCAGATTTCCAAGTTCTACTAAGTTCTACTAAGATTTCCAAGTTCTACCTTTCTCAATATAATTTTTTGGCACCCATCCAGGTAAATCCTCCTCGTCCGGCACTATTGGCATTATAGCACCAGAGGACGGAGTCGGTCTACCGAATTGCGGATGTTCCTCCTGTTCCGGTGGTGGTGGAGGCGGTAGAGGCGGACTGCTGGCACCACTGCCACGACTTACTTGATGTGACAATCTGTGGGGAAGAGTGTGATGCCCGGTGTATTCTGCCATGTCACCGCTTAGCCCGACCAAAGGTGAAGGCGGAGCTGACGAAAAAAAAGTATCAATGTTTATCATCATCGTTGTAACTTTGCACTGTGTTAAATATGACGTACGTTTGTCACTTACGAGGCATATTGTTGTGCTGCTCCTGCACGTAACCTGCTGTGACACTTGGCGGCGCTGGCGGAGGCGTTTGCGGATGACTCTGCAGAGGATGTACTGTTCCCACTTGTGGTATGGTCGCATGCTGATTGATGGTGTTGGTGTGCGCGTTGTGATTGGCGTTGTGGCTTGTCGTGTGGGAACTCGTCGTATTGTGAGCATGCAACGGTAGAGTGCTGTATCCAGGACCGCGATCTCGCCTGGGATGTCCGAGCGGATAGTTGGGAGCGTAATGACTAGGAACTTGGGGCGGAGCTACCGCTGGTGGAGTCCTATATTCGCGCGAGCCTTTACTCAACGTTCCTAAGGCATAAACAACATCGACTCAGTATATGCTCCCACTATAGTTTTTCTTTCTCCGTTCGGAGAACACATAAAACATTGGATTTTTAATAGACAGATAGAAGAACATCTAGAAGCAAAAAGAAAGAAAAAACATACATGCATGCGAAAAGTAGTAAATACCTTTTCGTCTTTTAGCGAGAAATTTTTAATTTTTTTATAACCGCAACTGAAAAAGTACACCTTTACAAGTTTGTGTAGCATAATGTGCGATTTCTAAGTGTTCATTCAGGGTGCCCCGAACTGCCATGGGGCACCCTATGTTTTTTACAGAATGTTTGATAACTTGTCTGTTAATTTCTATCAGAAGAGACAAATTTTCTTTTTTTCTCTGTTTGTGCCAAACAACAAATATCAAACATTCTATTCATATTATATATATATAAGTATATGTGAGTCTCTTACCAGTTCTTACTGTCTGAGGTGGTGTGGGTGGTTTGGTGGTAGGAGCAGGTCCCACCATAGCAGCACCTAAGCCTGAACCTGTAGAAGCAGCACCTAAACTCTGAACACTGCCCTGACTACCTCCTCTCTGCTTGCTCCTTGGTGTACCACTGCTTCGTACACCATGTCCAATTTCATCTAAAATTGTATAATCAATACACTTCCTAACGTATTTAATAGGTTTTTCGGGATTCGCGGGGGCGATGATTTTATATTGGCGAGTTGTCATTTTGTTGGCTGTCAGCACGCCAATCTCCCTTCTGGCAACTTTCTCCTTGTGAATCATGACCGTCTGAGCGATGTGATTCATCTGACTCTCCATTTCCGCGAGCTGGGACGTCTGAAGGTCTAATAATTGAAGGAAATTATATGCCAGAGTGTTTATCTGATAGGCCACGCTGGCCAGAGATTGGGTGGTGTAATTTTTCGTCTCCTCCAGCGCGATTCTCTTGTTCTCCGACTGGAAGTAGTTCGCCTCGCAATATTCCGCCACCCTTTCCAGATTCGTGTGACTGTCGGCCAGATTGTTTCTTCCTTCGGGAATCTCATGTCTCAGGAGTGCCGCCAACTCTGCCATGACTTCAGAATCACTGCCAACTCCCGACGACACACAGTAGGAACCTGATCCTTCTTGGAGACAGAAGAAGTCATACACATTATGCATGTGTAGAAATACTTATCGCACTACATCTAATCGTTATTGTTATTAATTTTGTAGCATAGAAAGCATAATTGCAGAGGAATAAAGTATATAAATATTACACAAAAGAGTCGAAATCAAAATTATATACATATATATAAATTGACGTTTAACGTGTCGTGTGAACAACTGTCTTTTACAAAAAACTAGATTGTTCTATTTCTCATGCAGGAGCATGTTAATTTACAATTAATATATACTTGGCACACAGGACGTTCCGCGAACGAAGTAGCGAATGGAAAACGAAAAAGTAGATTATGTGTGTGACAGCGCATTAGGGGCGGCGTCTAAACACCCAGAAGGAAGCAAGATGGACGCGAGAATAGAGGACAAGTGATTCGATCCGCGAACATGATTGACAGGACGCGGCCGGGACAAACGAACAATATCTAGAGATAATGAAAAGAATAGAAAATCAACTAACGGTACTCAGCCATATTGCAACTACCAGCTACTACAGCCTCATTAATTCATAATTACCGAAACTCCCGAAAACTTAAACGAGAAAAAGCGCACGAGGAATAAAAATGGCTGTGACATATGCGCGCGCGACACGACGCACGCTCGAATCGCACACGTCGCGGCAATACGATCGATACGTGCGAGTCCGATTGGATGTTTTTGAAAATTTCGAATCTCGTTCACAATTGTTCGCAACGGGACGGGACAAAACAAACAAAAAAAATATGTCCCATTTTCGATTGAAGTTCGAATACAATTCTCAATTATATTTCGAATGAAAAGAAGTTGAAAATGTGAGTTTTTTTCTTAAGTTTAGAAAAGTTTTGAAAATGTTGGAAATAAGGAAAAGAGGATATATTGGTGATTATTGCAGGAGCAATGAAATAATTTCAATAATATTATTAATATATTATTATGTATTTGTATATTAAAATACTATAATTGCTATTAGAGAGACAACACTTTTGCAGCTCATCACTTAAATGCAACTCAAAGAAATTAAAAAAATCACAGTTTTATTTTTGCAAAATGTCGCGTGAGTTCGGAAGTTTTTTCTTCCAATTATGATCGTAAAAGTATATACATATAAATCACAAAGAAATAACATATAAACAACATATAAATAACAAAGATAAAAATTATACATATAAATCACAAAGAAATATATATAACAAATAATAAACAAAATATCACATATCAACAAACAACATGATATCACATGTAATAATATATATATATATAATTATAAAAATACATAAACAAATACACAAACAAATACATAAACAAATTAGAAAGTAAGTTGCTTTCGCTGTTGTTTTTGTACAATTATAAATACATCCCGTTAACCAAATAATCCGCATCGTGAGCATAAGGTCCGTGACCGCATCTCCCACGCCGTTTTATCACCCGTAATCGGCAAACAATCAAAGCGACCGTGATTGCGGTCGCTATAAGTCCCAATGACAATGACACTACCGCTCCTTTGGGCCTTAAAACGTCGTTTTTAAATATTTGAAGGCGTTCTGCGACAAGATCGACTCTCTCGTGCGTTCTCGCATGCTCTTCAATTACAACCACACTCTTATGATCTAGAATTTCAAAACAATATACATATATATATGTATATATTACTGCAAAAGTACATATAAATTTTCTATACACGAATGTATTTTCTCTAATGTTCACCTTTTGATTCTTTCCCATGATTATGTTTGGCAACTTCGTTTGCTGATATCAGTGATTTCTCAGTGACCTGTTTACTCGCCTTATTTGTATGTTTCGAGTCGGTTTTCTCTTCCTTCTTCACAGGCTCGCTAGTTTGCTTTAATTCCTTTTTCTGTTCTCCAGAAGTCTATTGACGGAATTTTTGTTTCGTTACATAAAAATATTGTCAAAAATTTTATACAGAGAAAACTCAAGAGAGAGAAAGAGAGAGAGATTTACTCACATCACAGGCTGGCGTCATTGTACTTTTTGCGACATTTTCTACATTAGTGACTTGCTGAGGCTGAAAATTTGGCGCAACAGACGGAGATAAATGCACCGGAGTTTCTTGCCAAACTGCTTTATTTGACAAGGAAAAATGCGACGGATAGGAATGTTTGGGATCCGTATACAGTTCTCTAAACGTATAAAACAATAAGAAAATATAATATTATACACTTTAGTAATGTTCTACTTTTTCATTTGAAGTTACAGCTAAAAAAAATATTAAGATTTCGAATTACCTGTCCGCTTCGTTGTTTCCTATAACGCTCAAACCCTTGTGATTGAATATATGTGGTTGTTCTGAAAAAACGTAAATTCACACATTATCTACATCAGAATCTGAGACTTCGTTGCAATTACACGATAGATGTATAAAAAAAAAAAAAAAAACTCTAGATTTCACTTACGTTCATAGGGATTCACATTTTGTTTCTGAAACGTGTCAACAGGAACGTAAAGATCTTTTTGTTCGTACATAGGCTGATAATCCCATTGATATCCCGGTAAACCGTAATTTTTATGCATCTGCGGCACGTCCACCGATTGACCGGGATACAGAACATTCTGATGCGACATTTGTTGTGGCAGATTTTGCGTCTCCCAATTTTTCAGATTAATCTCCGGCGCCACGGGATAGAACGAATTGAGAGGAGATTTGTGATTGGCCAGCTGTTGGTATCTCAAAATATCCGAAGATGGATGAGGCATTTGCGGTATCGAAGAAATCGTGGATTTCTCCGTAGGACACACAAGATCGGACGCCTCGTCAGAACCGTCAGCGCATTGAGGAATGCCGTCGCAAACGTTGTATATCGCTATGCAGTCTCCGGACGAACGACATTCGTATTGATTTCTACTGCAAGCTGTTGTCAACGAGAGACACATTTGATTGAGTTAAATCTCAAAAATTTAAGAAACTACAATTTCAAGAAAAACAATCAGGTCTTGTCAAAGTTTGACAACAAACACAGACCTGGTTTCATTGGCGCAGGTGTAGTCGGTATTAGTTTTGGTATCTGTGTGACTACTACTGATTTGACTGGGGTTTCTGTAAATCCATAATCAGATTTAATTTCAGTATTTTTCCTAAAGCACACAAGAGAAAATTATAGTTAATATTACAAAAGAAACAAAATTATTACAGATAACATAATAATTGAACAATTTACCTAAGCGACTTCAACTCGTGCTCCTGTTGAGATATTCTGATCTCTTCCTCCTCCTGTTTGCTTTGCGTGGGATAATTGGTTCGTACGGCGCTGGTGTAATTGGTGTGTCTTGTAAATTTACACTTGAAATCGTGCAACGGCCCGCATTGAAACAGATAACAACTGCCTGGTTTCTGAAGAAACGAAAGAAAAAAAATGAAAAGATGCGATATATTCTCGAGATGGGAAAATTGCGCGCAAAAGCTGCTTCTTTTCCGTCTTTTGTGTACGCGCGCTGTGTGTGTACGTGCGTTTTTTTTTACTTGACGCGCGTTTACAAACACACGCGTAACAATTATATATTATTTACCTTTTCTTCGAAGATGAACACGTCGCATTGTTCGGTCTCGCAGCAGTACTTCAAACACTCGATTCTGGAGTCGAGATCCATCACGCTCAAGTACTTCGCGCCCATATCGCGAGAGTCCTGAGTTTTAATAATTTTGTCCCTGTGAACGTCGAAGCTCTCGAGGCACATCTGATAATCATCCGCCCCGTCGTGTCTCTTCTCATTTGGATTTTTGATCGCGCTGTCGCCGCAGTACGTGCGGTAAAAAATCGCGAGAAAAATTACGAAAATACTCTGCGCTCTTTGAAACATCGTTTACTCACGAACATCACACAAGAGTTGCGCACGTTGTAGCCCGCGATCAATAGTCGAATCTTATACTCCTTTAAACAACGAGTCCATTGTCTCGCTTTTCGCTCTTTTTCCTTTTCTCTCTCTCTCTCTATCTCTGTCTCTCTCACCGTCTCCCGTCAAATAACGATGTGACGAAACACGCTATTTGTGTGTTTATTTTTTTCTCCAACGATATATTGCGCAATATTGCGCAGCCTCTTAAATCAAATTATATACTTTATTTATACGTTCCCCGTGTACACGTTCTGCTTTCTCCCCGTTCAAATCGCGAAGATACGCATGTCGCACGTTTGACATGTTAAAGGCCGTTTTCACCAATTCCGGTAAACGCGATTATTTCGTTTGAAATCGACCAATCAATCTCGTATCGGACGCAACGATTGAGCGTGATTTTTTCGGGCGATTGAGATGACCGCGCGGATGTTACGAAAACCGATCTTTAATTTTGACTCCCAAACAAGTTTTTGCAAAGGCTCGTGTTCACAACACCGCTCGAAGATCGCCGAAACGGTTTTCCAGTTCGCGCGGATCCAATCGCGTCGATCGGATCGACCGAGTCGGCCAATGGGATCGCTCCGAGGTTCTGGTGACTTTTTCTCGATTCCCATCGTATGGACACGAGTCCTAAAACTGGGTACTTCCCAGAAACGGCATCGAGCGGCGCTCGAGATGCTGTTTCTTCTCTGTCAAAGTGAATGGCGATGCTGTTAGCGTGTGTGTTAGAGAGATTGGACGCGAATTAAAAATCTCGAATTTTCGTCGAAGTGAGAAAACGAGAAGAAGAGAAAATAGAAATCGTGGAAGTGGCGCGTCTCGCTTGGATGATGTTTCGTATCATTTTCAAGTGTACGCACGTCCACGTATTTTCGTCGCGATTATCCGGATAGAGAGAGAGAGAGAGAGAGAGTCGACGAAGAAACGCGCGGAGATAGGGTGGGCGGCCATTTCTATATATGCGATTCTGATATTTTTTTATTCTCCACGGTATGTCAGAAGGTGAGGCGTTGTCGCAGAAGAAGCAGCAGCAGCAGCAGCAGCAACCGCAGCAGCAGTCGTTTCACCCGCAGCAGCAATACCAGCAAATCGGAGGCCCGATGGCGAATATGGCTTGGCAATATCCACCGAATAACATGCACGGCATGTTTCCTCCGTATCCGGGGTGAGTGTGAGAGAGAGGAAGCAATTATATGGGAGCGTAGATCGTTGAGCAACAACAGCGCGTCGCGCTTTATAGTCGGGTCGAGTCGGCCATTTTCCTCTTTGATCTGTCACATCCGTGCGAAATCGGAGATGATGCTCCGTATTTGTTGCGTATATCGAGAAAATGTCGTTTCGTAACAAGCCGTGAAAAATTGCAGAATAGATCAAATCGATTTTTGTTCGAATTTTTTTTTAAATTATTTTACCGATCTCTTAGAATTTAAAGAGAAAAAACGAATTCGAGGGAAAAGAAACAAGAATATGATTTTTTTTTTTTTTTTTTTTTCAGGCAAATGTACAGCCAAGGATACGGCCAGGGTGTGCCGCATCATGGACAGATGTTCAACTTTTATCACACAATGATGCCAGGATATGGTCAGAGTTTTAATTCACAGCAGATGCAGCAGCAACAACAGCAACAACAACAACAGCAGCAGCAACAGGGAAACAATCAAACAAAACAGGTACAGCAACAACCGCCTATACCAGGAACTCCCATGAGTCTCGATGAGGACTCTGATCTTCCTCCATTACCACCTGGTCCACCACCAGCTCAACCAACTCAGCAACATAATAATCACATACAGCAGCAACAGCAGCAGCAACAACAACAGCCAATATCTTATCCAGGGTTTATGTACAACTCGTTCCCTTATGGTAAGTAAATTGTTTTTGTCACAACAAAAAAATATTGGTTGTGTTTACAATAAAAAAAAAAAAATGATTTTATCTTTAATTTATTTTAATGCTCGACACACTCATGTCATTTCTGTCAACAAAGATAACAAGGATTGTACAGTCGGCGTCAATGAATCGTTTCGTGGACGCGGGGAGCTAGAGGTAAGAGGGACGGTATTCCGTAGCAGTAAATACTGTGATTGGTCAATTCATCGAAATCTGCTACAGTTAGTTAGTGCGGCGTCCGTTGGCAGTACTTAATCTTAGGGAATACCGTCTCTCTTACCCTTAGCTCCCGGGGCTACGAAACGATTCATTGACGCCGACTGTACACAAAGTCTTCACAAAAGAAATGACTCAGAAAGAGTGTATGCATAGAAAGATATGAAAACATATCTTTTGATAATATTTGTTTTTATTGTATTTTGAAATGACCTCAATGTGTTTACTTCTGTTATCTGAAAGTGATAAACAGGTTTTTCAAGTAGGAGCAGGAAATGTTTATTTTATTTTTTTATTTTTTTTTTTTATGAAAGCAATCACACTTTGCTCACATTGATATGACGATTCGATCGTACTAACGCTCAAATATTTGTATATGTTTGCAGAATACAACAATCAGGTCCGTTTTAACATGCCCAATAAGAAAACCAATCTTGGATACACACAGTCGAGCAATAGCGGTGCCGCGAAGAAAAAACGTAAGCGGAACAAAAATTTAGCAGCTCAATTCAACAATAGCTTTCAGGGAAACGCCACGACACCCGGTATTTTTATGCCCAACGGGACTAACGCAAAGTCGGCGGAACTGCCGCCGCTGCCGCCCGCGAAGTGCGAAGTGGCGGCCCCTCCGCCGTCTAGCAAAGAACCTCCTGTTCCTACTGCGCCCGTTACCGCAACGGTTAATAACACACTTCCCGGCACCAAAGTTACTCCTTCTGTCGCGACTACCCCGAGTCCGGTCGGGGACTGGCCCGACTGTCTCAAGAATTACGTGAACCGATGTTACGAGAAGTGTAAAACGGCAGTAGACAAGGATCAGGTAGAAATCATACTGAAGGGAAAGATCACACGTGCCGCGAACGACGGCTCGCTCTGGGTGAAGGACTGGGACAAGGAGCCTCTGCCCAGCATCCACAGCGAACGCATGACCATGACGATCAAGCCTCAGAAACCGGCGTTAAAGTTAATGAATCCACTGGCGAGCCCACTAGTCAATGCACAGGGAGGCCTGCGCAAATCCGGCCTGTCCAACTCGCTCGGGGCACGGCTTGGCGCGCGTCTCTCTGTGATGCACAGTAAACGATCGCGTACAAAATCGAAATCAAGATCTCGATCGAGGTCAAGATCAAGATCCAAGTCAAGATCGCGATCCCGCTCGCACTCGCGGTCGCGATCGCGATCGCGCTCCAAGTCGAAATCGAGATCGAGATCGACACGTTCGCGTACGCGTAGCCCGCCGTCGCGCAGGTACAACCGACGCAGCACGTCCTCGTCGTCGAACATTAGCGATCGGGAGCATGATTACAAGGCGTTGAAAACGAAAAAGTCCGCGCGCAATAAGGCGAATCACGGAAACAAGAAGAACAAGAAGAATAAGCAGGCTAAGTCACATTTCTATTCCGAGTTTGGTTTAGCTACAGGCAATGCAGACGAGTTAGGCACCAAGGAGAAGTTGCAGCAACGTGCCGCCAGATTCAGTGACGGCGGCATTTCCAGGACAGTGGTCAGCAGCGTTATTAGGGATGAACCAAACGGGGACTTTGACTTTACTGGACTTCACATCGTCGGTACATGCAAGGATTTAGAGAAGCCCTATTTGCGTCTCACATCGGTACGTGTGTTTAATTTATTTAACAACAGAATTGTTAAACTATTTTGTTACACAAAAACAAAAGAGAATTTTTTAAGCTCGATAATTTGTACAAATTTTTTTGTGACGAAATTGCGTAATGTTGTTGCAGGCACCCGCGCCTTCTGCAGTAAGACCGGTAAGTGTACTTCAAAATTCTTTGGCCCACGTCAAGAAGCGTTGGCAAACTGACCAGGACTACAGATACGTTTGCGATCAATTGAAATCTATCCGACAAGATCTTACCGTACAAGGTGTTAGGGATGCTTTCACCGTTCATGTATATGAAACCCACGCGCGTATAGCTTTAGAACGCGGCGACAATGAGGAGTTTAATCAGTGTCAGACGCAGCTCAAGATGTTGTATCAGGATCTGGGTGGCGAAAATCGATGCGAATTCGTCGCGTATAGAATACTCTATTACATCTTTACGAAGAATACTCAAGGTTCGCACAAATGATTATGTATAAAACGTATATAGGTATAATGCTGCTTGCAGATCAGAGAAACATTTGTGATGTTATTGTTTGATTTCAGATTTAACTACAATTTTAGCGGCACTTTCGCTTGAAGACAAGAACGACGAGTGTATACAACATGCTTTGAAAGTACGCTCGGCGTGGTGGCTCGGCAACTTTCATGCTTTTTTCAAGTTATATAGAACAGCGCCAAGGATGTCGGCCTTTTTGATGGATTTGTTTGTTGCACGAGAGCGAAAGAAAGCTTTGAAATTTATGATCAAGTCGTACGTATTAAAACTTACTTATCATTATCATATTTTATGATCTCCATCTAAACTTTTATGCGTGTGTGTATGTATTTAAAGTGGACTATTCTAGGAAATTTATCTTTTATTTTTTCCATAGGTTTATATATTTTCTAAGTTAAAATAATTAATTTTGCTAATATTAAGTTTTTTTTTTATCTAGTATGTTTATATCTAATTTTATATCTAGTATGTTTCGCGAGAGAAAGTGCATCTTTCGTCCAATTTTCAAAGAGAACACATTTAATCGGCTCTCACGTTTATTTATAGTTGTTTTTTTTTACACCGTTCAATAAAATACTTATATATTTTTTTTAAATTTTTTAAACTACAATTTTAATCGCGGAAAAAAATAACTTTATACACATACTTTTATATAATATTAGATTATATAATTTATTTTAAATAGTATTATA